CATAAGGATCATCAAACTTGCTGCTGCCACCACCACCTCAGGTGATGTTGCAAGGTGGCACGATATGCTGCAAGGAACTAATGGCAGTCATCAAGGAGGTCTGATAGCCATGCAAGCTAGGTCAAAACAGAGCTAAGCCAAGTTAGTTAACAGGGGTGTCACTGGTTGCAAACCCATGATCTACAATCAGTTTGCAGGCTGTCCTGAGGGTTTAGATTTTTTTCCTCTTTTTAGAGACTATGCTTCTTGGGCAGACCTTGCTGGTGTGACATCACTTTAGGGATGTCTACTAGGCTCAAAGGGGACAACTTTTTGTAATAAAATTAAGGTCACCTGAATTTATCAGCTACTTATCCAAAGATAAGCCACCCTGCAAGGCTCAGAATAATGGCTAACCTCTCAGACCAGAGCTGTCCCCTCCCTGCAAATGTACATACCTCTGGTTTTGCCAGATCTTTGATCTCACTGCCTTTTGTCTGCTTTCTATTCCAGCTCACCCATATGTGATGGAACTTCTCCTGGACTTCTTGAAGAGTAACACCTTGCTTAAGGTATTCAATCTAGAAGTGGCATAAGCATATTGAGACATTTGCACATCAGTTATTCTAGTTCCACGGTTTATGACATGCCTTCACCCCACAGAGTGGTATGCCCAATGCATCAGGGTCTAGTTACATAACACAACCATGAATGAGGCCTCAGCCTCATTCTATACAGGTAGAATTGGAGGTGTTCCCCGCCCTGAAGGGCATCAGTTTTAAGAGATAGTGGAGTTCCTACCAGTCCCATGGTTTGATGAAGCTGGGAAAGAGCCTCTCTGATGCTCTGACTGGTATGTCTCATCTTGTTTAAAGAATAGTGGTAGGCACGTTGGCGAAGTTTGGTTGACAGGGAACCTAAACGCACGAAGTAGCTCCGACGCTCTTGTGGTTGTGCTGAAGACACTTCAGCCCCTTCCACAGATTCAGCAAGTTCAGCTAGAGGGAAGAAAGCTCAGGTTGTTCACCCTCTCAGATTGAGAGATTGGTAATGGAGTACAAGTCATACTGATCTGCTAAATCTTAAGCTCCCTTGTAACAAGCATTTGGCTTAGCACCTATTAAGTACCACAGAGGCAACTTCAGCCTTAAAACAAAGCCCACACAGCACTACTAAGATTTTTGAATACTTTGATAAAAAGATACTGACTTCAAATGAATAGTCATGCCCATCATTCCTTCTAGTACCACCCTGTCCCCACTTGTTGCTCAAATCATTTTATGCCCACCAACTAAAAGCGGAGACTGAGGGTTAAGATATGAAAAGGCTGTAGGATGAGCCTGCATTTGGTGTTAATACTGATGCCTAGAGAGAAGTTCAGCCCAAAGGGAGGATTACCCTAAACTTTTAGAGATAATAGACCTGTCATTCATGTGTTCTGACCTAGTTCCTCATCGGTCATAGGAAGATAGTGATCCAAGAGCTCTTCAGATTTCTCCAGCACTGCTTCCATTCCACTTATGGCCAATTGGCCCATTCTTGATTCCACAACTGTGCTCATGCTGTCAGTTACCACTGATTTGGTGCTCTTCATACTGTCCTGCACAGCCTCTTTGGTCTTATCTACCATTCTGATCATGGTCTCCTTGACATCTGTCAGTCTGGAAGATGCCAACTCCTGTGCTTCAGCTGTAACCTAGAGAAGAGTGATCAAGCAAGACATTTTACAGTAATTCAGGATGATAATACCCCATTGACCCAGAGATTGAGGTTGGGGAGGGGGATTACCACCTGCTCTGCCCCATAGGTCAAAGCTTCAGGGGGGAGAACTGCATCTTGCTGCTAAGCACCAGACCAGAGTTATGTTTAACCACTAGCTCCTGCCTCTTGACCACTTTTAGGATGGAGTGTTCCTCTGCTGGAGGAAGCCTCTCATTATTGGCACCCCTTTCATAAACACATAGCATTGTCATTTTGTCTAAGGAGAGGGTGGTGAAAGTTACCTCATCAGCAGTCTGAAGAGGGACTGGTAGATTATCCTCCACTTTGTCAGGTACTTCAGAAGCACACTCCTCTGCTGTCGTCACTATAGAAAAAAAACAGTTGTTTCTTAATTGGTCAATGTTGCTACTGCAATATGTACAGAACCTGGCTCACATCTGTAATGGAGAGCTTTGGTTCTCCAACACGTTCAGGCAGCAATAGTTCTGGGTTGTAGGTGCAGCACGTTTCGAATTACACTGATTCAAGACCCTCAGGAGGATTTTATTTCTCCCTTCATTCCCCATGCTAGGTGGTTCCCTCCCGCTCCCCCAAGTTATGAACTTTCTTTGGTAAACATTTTCCAAAAAAAATAGTGTCCCTTCAATAGTTCATAGTTCCAGGTTTCCTCCCATGCATCATAATTCAGTTACCCAATCAAGATAGTTATGACTGGCATCTGAATACTTTCTCCTCCTATCTGCCGTCAGTATAGAATTGTCTCTTGCCCACGCGTTCTAGGCATTACTTTCCAGGCTCCCTCTCCAAATGAGAGGTTTTTATGTTCTGAATAAAGTGCAATGATCTCACTCCATAGTCTTACAGATCTGAAGCTTTTGATCAAATGTTTAACATCCCTCTGGAAGGCACCAAGAAGTTTTCGCAATGTCTTGGCTGTGATAAGTCCAACTAACTGTTCTCATGAAGGAAGCAAGTTAGGGAGTGGCTATTGCTGGTGAGCTATTGCCGGATGTTAAGACAAGTTTAACAGTTGTAATCTGTTTGCAGTGTTGTTGTAGCCATATTGGTCCAGAGATTAGACAAGGTGGGTGAGGTAATCTTTTGTTGGACCAACTTCTGGTGGTGACAGACTAGATTCTGAGCCTCTCTAGTTGCAGAATGAGGAGATCTCAGTTTGCAATTAGGTACCTTTCAAAGGGTGTTGCTCCTTAAATGGAAAGAGCTTAGCACTGATCTCACTTCCTGGCTACAGTCAAGGAGGGTGCAGGTTCAGGAATAGCAATTAGTGTAAACAAAGCCCTTTGTTAGCCTCTAGCAGATGTTAGTTTACATGCATGGGCTACTGTATTATTCCTATATAGTCACACCACCCCCACTGCCAGCTTCTCCTCCAGTACTGAAGGCATACTGATCTTCATGGACCTGAGTTTTAGAGATGGAAGCTTCCTGACAGGGTGTCAAGATCCTACTGTTGACAAATTGTACCATACAAACAGAAAGGTCTGCATATATGCTTTACTCACCCTCAGGTTCAAGTTTAGTTACAACCGGCTGTGCACTGCTAACTGCAACATTGGTTATGGACGTCACTCCCTTCTCTGCCATGTCACAGATGGACCTCACATAGGGATGGCTCTCCTTGGTGGAAGCGTAGGCAGTGGCAGCTAGATCATAGGCAGAGTTGACTAAAGGTAGGCTGGCCACCCTCCTCAAGACATTCTAGTGAGGCAAGGGACAGAACAGTGAGTCAGGAAGGCAGTGTTCTATACTGGAGCTGAACCATTACTTTTTCAAGTGGTTATACCCTTGGATGTGTTAGCCCCCAATCAAAGGATTGTTTATAGGTCTGACGAGCTAAGAGGCCCAACAGCTGCTTCTGAAGTTAGAGTACTGGGTCACAAGGTGAACTAAAGCAAGAAGCATTTTTAAATATTATAAACTAAGCTACTTTGCAGCATCTGGAAGAGCCACTGCACAAATCTCTAGACACTGAGGTGTACATATGTGAAGCCTGCTACCAGATCACAGCCAGCCATCTTTTGTATTCACATGTTGAACCAGCAATGCTTAAGAGGGAGCCCCTACCTGTTGCTCTTCCTCTCCATGCTCTGAGGATGCCATAGTTGTCTCTTTTCCATTAGAAGCCATGGTATAATCAGATATACCTGAAAAGGACAAGACGAGAGGCCTGAAGTTACAAGTTAAGTTTCTAAGGAAAAGAAACAGCACCCTAAAGACAAGAGGGGTTTTCTACGCCAAAGAGGGAGCAGAAGAAATGGCATGGCCCTCATCAGATTAACAAGGAATATTTAGAGCAATAGTGAGCTAAATACATGGTCACTGCCTTTTTTTTTTTAAATAAAAGGCAAGAAATATTTCAGTTCTACTACAGCTAAAGAGAAAGGAAGTAGGAGAATTCCTTGTCATGGCACAAAGAAGTTGAAAACCTTGGGAAAAATTTTTTTTTGGGAGAGTTCATTAGAGGCAGTAGGTGTCATTACTACTAAAAACCATTTAATAGTTATAATTACAGGGGGAAAAGTTAAGAATGTGATCCTGTCTTACCAGCTAAGAGACTTAAGGCCAATAAACATTAAGTTCCCCAGACTCAGCTTCCCAACCCCTGTCCTACCCACAGCTTCTTAATACAGACATTTACACATCCAAACATTTCTTAGTAGCATAACTGCAAAGCTATGTCCAAGGAATTGTATAAAAAATGAAAAAAAGACTAAAAAGCCTCACCAACAAGTCCCACTCCTTCAAGAGCCAGCCCCAAACCAACCCACTGACCTTTCTCAGTACTCCAAACACTGCTTTACTCCACTCACCCACTGGTCAGATTTTATACATCCCCGGTGATGTAATTGTGAGGGGAGGGAGTGAAATACTCAGGACTGACAGTTCAGGGAATCAGTGAAAAGAAGGCTTTGCTAACCAATAGGAGAATGCAAATCCTTTGGGGACTGCAAAGATTGGGAGTGAGTTATTCCCCAAATGTGATTCCAATTAACCCCACTGGGTCTTTGCTGTCATCCAGGTGAACTCACTTTGAGTCCACAGCCTGCCTAGAAACAGTTGCTAGTTAGGATGGGTGACATTTCAATAACACCTGTGTGACTTAAAAAATCATTGATTGTCATTGCCCTTTCCAATGGGAAATGGGAGAGAAAAGTTTTTTTAAAAAAGGGTAAAAAATTGAAACCGAACTTTTCATTGTGTTAAGAAAAATCTAAAAAAAAAACCATAAAAAAGCCCAAACAAATAAAAAATCAGCCAAATATAGACCATCTCTGGTGGTAAGGTTGCAGATAGCAATGTGCCTGCTTCACCTGCATGTTGCCCATAGTTTCAAAGCAAAAACTGGCACACTGGAACAAGGAGTGGCATATTGAAGACAGGTAGTGTTTCCAGTGGTTAGGATACTAGCCTAGGATTTGAGCTGGGTTCAATTTCAGGCTCTACCTAAGCCTTCCAGTGTGACCTTGTGCAAGTCACTTAGCCTCTCGGTGCCTCAATTTCCCCTCTGTACAGTGGGGATAATATGGCTTCCATGCTTCATAGAAGTTCTGTGAGGTGCTCAGATACTCTGGCAATCAGGGCTATATAAATACCTTAGATAGATAGTGAAGCATTTTGTTGGGGAACAAGAGTTAGGTAGGGTAACTGGAAGAACTTGCCCTTCTCCACCTTCATCCCCCCTTTCAGAAAAAAGGAAAAGTGTGCCACTTTCTATTTCAGGGAAGGGTGGGGAAAAAGAGTGTTTATCCTTCTGTCACCCCTTCATTGTTCTCCCTCAGTGTTTGAATTGGAATTGGATTGAATTGGAAAAAAAGTAGTGGTACTGTCCCAAGTCCTGCCCACAATCCAAGCTCTGCCTATATGAGATGCTACTTTAGCAGATTGTGCAGGTGTACAAAACATGAGCACACATGCTCTGCTGGTTTCCCCTGGGGTCTTGTGTCCCTCTCTGTTCAGCTACACCACTGGATATGACCAGATTAAGATGGAGGCACAATAGCCACATGCCTGGATTCCAGTCATGTGATTATGTCAGTCTCAGCTGTCATTTAAAAATAAATGTTTCTACCCAACATGGCTGCAAAGAAAAGCTTGAGATTATCCATTGAATAGAACTGATACAGTCATCATAGAATACCAGGATTGGAAGGGTCCTCTAGTCCAACCCCCTGCTCAAAGCAGGACTAATCAACAAACAAATTTTTGCCCTATATCCCTAAATGACCCCCCCTCAAGGATTGAACTTACAACCCTGGGTTTAGCAGGCCAATGCGCAAACCACTGAGCTATCCCTCCTCCCAAAGTGATGTCTACCTGTGTCTGCCCCCAGCCTCCTGCAGTGGGAGAAGCAGCATCCATACCAAGGGAGGTAACTCTTTACCCCCCACTTGGCCCTTGCTGTTCTTGCTGTGCGCCCACCCACCTTCCCAGGACTTCGACAGGTAAATGCCTAGCTGGGCTCTGTGGGATTGGTGGCATCTGGTCTTTTAGCCCCAATGGTCAGATGTTGGCCATGGGAGTGTGAATAGTTCCCTAATGACATCCACTCTCACCATGAAAATGAGATGCCACCTCAGGTAGATTATGCAGATCTGCAATCCTCCCTCTCTTTTCTTGCTTACTTTGATCAGCAGTGAAATAGTGAAAAATCTAGACATGTATATCACCATCACTTGGCATCGGAGTTACCCCACTTTGATGAATGGGGCAGTTCACACCTTTCTGAGCTCCTGTGTCAGCCTCTCTGCAGAGGCAGGCAGATGCTTGTGCATCCGTTTTTGCTCTTATCATGTTTTCAAGGTTTTTTCCATAATCTGTTGTCACATTATATTGATAGAGCTTAGCTCCATTAGCACTTGAAGACCAGCCACTCCAGATAATGCAAGAAACACAGAAATGTAAGTCTGGTGCACCCTGGCTGTTTTGGGGTTCTCCCAGAATGAGGCCGCTTTATCATATAATTCGCAAGGCACAACGTTTTCCAAGTAACTGAATTTGGAAGTATTTTACTGTTCATTCTGTCGGAGAAAAACAGAGTTCTCACTATTTGTTTGGGTACAGCAAGTCAGATGCTTTATTAACTCTCACAATTGCGCAGAGGGAGAGAGCTAAGCAGGTCTCTCTCAGGTAACTAATTACAGCAGCATTTATACCTTTCATTACAGAAATAATGAGGGACAGCTGCATTTTGTTTATACATAGGCCATCTTGATATCTCATTTCTTCACTTGTTTTGACTCTTGCCAACATACAATATTTTCTATACCTTATCTACACAAGGTCTTCTACACCTTATCTATACCAGGTCATAATGACTTCTTACACAGTTCTTTCTCACCCGCCTCATACAATCCTCGCTTCTACAAATCTTGCGTTATCAGGGTTACAGTTAGCCTGACTCTTGCTAACGAACTGTCATGTATTGCAGTTCCTTTCTGTCAGTTCTTTCTCTGCTTCCACAATTCTAAACATATGAAGCTGCATTTCTCAAATATGCTTTCTGGCTGCATTTTGTAATGCTTAAGGAAAAAGCCTCTCCTCTCCATTGACAGTTTATATGCCTTCAATACAGATAAATATCAAGGAAATTGTAAACATTTGTAAAATGAGCATGATTGCATGAAAATACCATTTCCCATTGGATTCCTTCTTGCTCACTGTACAGTACAGCCTTGTGACACAAACCACTTCATGGCATTCCTTGTGATATTTTTGAAGAGGTGTGACGTTCTGGTGCAGTTAGTTGGGGCAGCAAAAAAGTCATGGATAATTCCAGAAGCAACTGAGATTCTTTAATTTTGATACCCTAACCAGTGCTGAATCCATCTTAATTCCCACCCTTGTAGTCTTTTTATGTTAGTGCTATTGTAACCCACACATCTTCTGGGTGTGGTGTTCTGTCCCATCGAGTGGCACCGAGACCACTTAAAGAGAGAGCAATTAATGAGTCTGCTCTACAGCCTTCACTAAGAGGCAGTTGCTTTTAGCTCATGCGCTAGAGGCTCATGCACTAAGCTCCAGAGGTCCCCAGTTCAATCCTGGTGACTGGGGTTTGTCAGCGTTACACTATCACCTTCCCTTCTAAATGTCTATCCCAAATGGGCAACTAGATTGAGATTCTGACATCCTTCCCCTTAGCTGCCACCTTTCCCACTTGACATTGTCATGCAACATTAAAATATTTGCGTGCGGACTAGGTAGGATTGAGCAAATAATGAATTTTTCATTTCAGGGGCTGCACAAAAAATAAAGTTAAAAACAATCAGATCAAATCAAAACGGATTTTATTTTTCAGTTTTTCCTCATCTAAATGGAATAAATGAACAAATGTGTTTCAAGCCAAACAAAACAATTCATTTGACCCTAAATGATTTTTTTTTTCCGTTTTTTCTTTCCTGGGGGGTTTTGGGGCTTTTTTCCCTCTCCCTTTTTTTAAATCTAGCTAAATTTTGAAAAAAACACCATTTCAAAATGAAAAAAAAAAGTATTTCATTTCCAAATGGTCAAAATGAAACTATTTGAAATGAAAAGTCAAAACATTTCATTT